TCATTCAAATCACCAGATTTCGCATACATGTCAAGCAATGCAGTCCCAACAACAACATCCATATCCCACCCAAGTTTCACTGCACACCCATGTAGCATTTTTCCACATTCGACGGAACAACCAAAGTTTGAACAACATGCCTTCAGAACGCTCCCCAAAACATAGCTATTAAAAGCCATTCCATACCGATGCATTTTCACCAAAACTCGCAACATTTCATTATTGCGACCACTCTGAACGTAACCTGCAATCAAAGAATTCCAGGAAACATAGTCCAACTCATCAGAATTATCAAACACAAGCCTCGCTTGGTCGACCCATCCACATTTTGAGTACATATCAATAAAAGAATTTGTCAAAAAGACTTGTGCACCTAACCCATCAACAGCTATCAACCCATGAATCTTCTTCCCGAATTCTAAATCCCCTGTTTGACTGCACATACTTAACATACTGGCATACGTGAACTTATCCAGTTTTATCGCCATTCTTGCTTCACTAAACAATTTTTTGGCCTTATCATGGAGACCCATCTGATTGTACCCAGAAATCATAGAATTCCATGAAACAACATTACGTTTAGGCATCTGATCAAACATCAGGCGAGCACTATCAATGTCACCGCATTTCCAATACATGTTCATAAGATTATTTTGTAGAAATGTGCATAGCTTAAAAGCAGTTTTGATCATGTGAGCGTGGGCAAGCTTGCCAGAGATGAAAGACCCCGAACTGGCGGAGGATTGTACCAGCTTGGTGTATGTGACACTGTCAAGCGAATGACCCATTTCACATGTTTGATGGTACTGTTGTGGGTCTTTTATGGGCTGAGGCGATGTTGTTGACGCGTTCTTTAAGTATGGTTTTGGAACGAGAATTTCAGAAAAGTCGATAAGGTTTGGGAGTGACTTCAGTTTGGTGGGTTTCGTATCCGGCAACATTGTTTTTGTACTTCGCCCTTTGCTCCTCATAATCCATAATTAGTCGTTTTGGAGTACATGATGAAAGCTAGGTTAACTTGTTCAGCAAATTCATTGAGAGAGAGAGAGAGAGAGCGTGATTGGGGTGTCCAAATGATGCCACTGGGGCAGAGGGCGGGGCATATTGGATGCATCGATTGCAACGTGTCGATATTCTCACGAGTAATATACCAAAATAAATTTTAATTATTTAAATAATTATTCCTCTATAATGGATAGTAACTGCCGTTCTAAAAAAAAGTGCGGTCACTCTCTTCACTTATTTATCTCATACTAAAGGTCATTTGTGTCTCATCACAGTATAATTTTAATCAATCAATTAATTTGAAGAGTGAAGAATGAAGATCCAGTGAGAGAGAGTGAAGAATGAGGCGAGATAGATAAAATTCAATGTTAATAGTTTTGAGAGATATATTAGTGGTCGTTGGATGAGTATATTTGAAATCGTCAAATGAGTTTATTAAAGTCTGTTCTGTTTTATATTAACTATTGATAACTCGTACCTGAAGACATAATGCAATGTGAATGATTTTGAGAGAGATATTAATGGTCATTGGATGAATTTATTTGAAACTGTCAGATAGACTTATTGAAATCTGTCTAGTTTTATATTATAGATTATAAATTGGACGGTTAAACTATGTGGTAATGCTAACGCGGCGTAACTATTACATCTAATATTTACTTTTTTATTAAGGACAAAATAAGAACTAAATATCCACCAATTGATATAACAATTTATAAGCTTAAGTATGAAATATATATGAAGATTTATGATTAATTACTATATAAAAAATAAAATTGATATTAATAATACTTTAAAATGAAACTAATGAGCATAGGATGACCATAAGTTAAGCTTACATAGGCTTAATAGAATGTATTTTAAAGATTGTCAAGAAAATTTACTAAAGATTTAAATGATTATATTAGGTGTCTAATGAATTTTTGCAGGATCTACTATCTAATAAATTAAGTACTTATTTTTTTTTTGATAAGAAACAATTGTAATTTCATTTAAACCGGAATATCAGAAAAGAGAAAGGACATGAAAGAGTACATATATATATTGAGAGGACCAAATCCCATACATATATAGCCACGACAGAGTACCACATTCTAAAGTTTATAAAATAGTGCATGTTTGTTTAAAGGATAATTGTGGTATAAAAAAATGAAATTAGGGAAAGTAGTATGTGGGGTCTAGTAACATCTTTTTTGTTTTTCTTTTTTTTTTTGTGTGGTATTATTTTTCGGGTCACAATACCGACCCGCTAATTATAGTTCACTAAAACCCATGTACATGGGCTTATGTAATACCACCTAGAATGTGATATTAAGTATTAAAGAGGTTAATGATTAAATTATCTTCGTCCTTAAATGTTAGTATGGAATTTGGCCAACAACAGTTTTTTGTTTTTTAATTTTATTAGTTTTTTTTTTAAATCTGATTTTAAAATTTTTTCCTTGTATTATGTTTAAGTGTATAGTGTCACCAGGGTTTTTTTTTTATTTTATTAATTTTTTAAAAAAAATTTGATTTTAAATTTTTTCTTTGTATTATGTTTAAGCGTACGGTGTCATCAGTTTTTTTTTAATTTTTTTTAAAAGTTTTTATTTTAAATTTTTTCCTTATATTATGTTTAAGAGTATGATATCACCAATTTTTTTTTTTTTTTTACAAATATTTTTTGTACATACATCTATAACATCCATAGGTACCTGTTAACTTTTTTGAATGGTGTCACCAATTCATAGCGGCAGATTCTTTATTTTTCATGTGACTTTTTTACATTATTCGGAATTCATACCATCCTAAGTGGAGTTGATTATAGTGATGTTTGGACCTAAAATATAAAATTATGAGAAAATTTGATGCACCAACACTCCACGAATTGGGGGTATTAACGAATAAGTCACATAGCAGAATCTGAGAAAACGGGAGATGGTTTGACACAACTTTATTTAAAAGTGAATAACTATGTGAAAGTTATAAGTCAAATAACTGTCGATGAAGGTGAAACTGTCGAGGACACTGGTGATAAAAAACAGAAAATGAGGAAGTAGAACAACACATTCAAACTCCCACAAGACCCACGATCTGGCATTTTTAAAAGTAGTGTTAAGTTAGTTTTTAGGAAGTAGTTACTATTGTAATCAAGGCTGTTAACTCAGTTTGTTTGTAATTGAAAACCCTCTGATTGTATTAATAAATGGATTCTCTTTTATTAATTCACAATTTTGTGTACTTACTACTTTAAATTTCATCCAAGAAATTCTTGAAACAAGGCAATTAAACTCATCACTAGCAATTGCCTGAAAACTATCTGTCGATTAAGTCACTTATGTAGATAACAACAGAATTTGGTGCAATAATCTTTTGGCACGCCCGGTGGGACAACATTTCTAACTTGGATCAAGAAAAATGGTGATACCTAGTAAACAAGATGAGATTGTGATTGGAACTAACAAAACTGTGAAAATAATGCCAACAAGTGGTATTCATGAAGCATGTTCAAGTACCAATCTAGTGGAGCCTACGAGTGCTAGGAATGGCTAGTCTGATGGCTACAATAGTTTACAGATGAAAGTGTTTGTGCAGAATTTAAAATAGTTACTGCACAATACCAATTCTGGCATTCAACAAAAATTAGTTAATGTCATGCATAAGTTGATGAGTGTTTAGACACCAATGTCAGGACTAACTAATCAAAAAATCAAATACTACAATTAGGAACCAAGTGGTCGAGGAAATAAACACCTGCCCTATGGTGTTCCCTATGGAAAACCAAAGACCACCACCAACAGTCATCAATGAAAGATCAGGCTTATCACACTAAAACCACTTTAACATGGTGTTTGATGGGGTGTCTATTGAATTATCCCCAAATTTCTTTTTAGGAAGAAATTCTAAGGGAAAGAATGGGCCAAGAATGGACCCTGAGTTCCCTAGAAGAGGTCGTGAGAGGTATGTCATGCCTCTAATGGAACCCATAGAGGAATTCAATCTAAGAACAAAGGGCAACCCTTCGACTAGGTTGAGTACATTGAAGGCCACTAGAACATGGTTTTCAATAGGGACTATTAGTGGAAATTATTCAAGATCTTTATGATCCTAACATTAGAAAAACAGAGAGGTCTATGTTCCGAAAACCTTACTGTAATACCTCGCATTTTCTTTTATATATGTATATAGATATATAGTAAATAATTGTGGAAAAAAAGTGTGGATATATGTAGTGATGTGTGTTTGAATTTGGTAGATTGGAAAATTAGAGATTTAAAATGTTAGGGGAAATAATAGTTGAAATTTGGTTTTAATAAGTGAAAATATGAAATTTTAGGTTCTAGAACTTGTATTAAATAGGTTTGGTGTAGAAATATGTGTTGGAGAGGTTTGAGATGGATTTGGTTGGCTTAGGAATGGATTGGAAATAGAAAAGGGACGAAGACAGACTGTGAACAGTGCAATGGCTGCAACTTCAAGCGCGATTTCGACCTTGATGCAATCAATAGCTCTCAAAACTCAAAACACGAAAGTTTTAGAGCTCTTTCTTATCATTTCATATCATCTTGAATCATCTCAATTAGAGCTCGGATGAGAGAGTTATGCCTAGATAACGATGGGCTGTTTTGACAGCTAGCCCAATTAGCTTGAACAGTGCACGTAAATAGTGCACTGGCTGCAACTTTAAGCCCGATTTAGACCTTGATGCAGTCAATATCTCTCCAAACTCAAAACATGAAAGTTTTAGAGATCTTTCTTATCATTCCATATCATCTTGAATCATCTCAATCGTAGCTCGAATGAGAGAGTTATGCTCAGATAACGAAACGATGTTGAAATAGTCCAATTAGTTTCGTTTTGCATTTAATGTCTCCATTTGCATACTAAATTAAAATATAAGAATAATGAGTACTTTTAGGCTTCAAATAAGTATAAAAGACTTTAAGAATCACCCTTTATCACCTTTTATTTGCAAACATCGCAAAACTTCATTAATAGCCGATTCAGATGGGTAAAATAGAAACTTTAATATTTCGGGTGTACGTTGACTTGGGTTTTGAGATAAATCATAAAAATAAATATTTTTAGGTTAAAATAACATTAAAAATGAATCCGAAACGTCGACAAACCTTAGAGTAGTCATATGGATCAAATTGGAGATTCTTAGTGGTAAAATCGTAAATTTGGAGAAACTTAAAACAGCCTGTGAATAGTATTTTTTGGGGCTGTTATGTTTTTAACTAATTTTCATCTCATTTGCTCTCATTTCCTTCACTCCCCTCACACCACCACACCTTTTGAAACCCTAAAGAGCATTAGAGAGGAAGAAAAAAAAGGAAAAAACAACAGATTTAAGGGTAGATTCAAGATCAAAGCTCAAGTTCTTCCTACAAACTAAGGATTCAATGTAGGGGTTTTCTCTCACTCACTTACATTGAGGCTAAGGTATTTATATATGTATGTTTTGGCTATCAATGGTATATATATGCTATGAAATCATCATCTCTTAGGCTTTTTGCAAGGATTACATGTTTTGAACAAAGTAGGGTTTAATACCCATGAAATCTCCTTTCTAGTTTTAAAACCCTAATTTTTTGGAGAGTGACGTATTTTCTTCCTAAATTCTTTCTTTATTATGATTTCAAAACCTTAGTGCTTTGTGTTGGGTAGAAAAATGATGTTATTCTGATCTTATGTATTTTCTTAGTTGGTTGTAGAATTATTACATGATATATTTTGGATAGATGCTTGTAAATTGAGATGAATGTTGGAATTGTATGCTTGATTGAGTTGTTTGTGATGTACGTGAGTAAGAGGTTCCTTGTAAAGATGCTCACCCCTTCCCAAGAGGTTCCCGGTAAGGATGCTTGAAAAATAATGTAGTGATTGGTGAGAGGTTCCATATAAGGATGCTCATCCATTTTCAAAAGATTCCCGGTAAGGATGCTTGAGAATCAAAAGTGACCTAAAGGGGGGTGGAGGTTACCACAAAGTATGTCACTTACCGAAAGA